CTTTAAAACCGGAAGAAAACAGTGAGTGTGATGATCATGAATCTGTCAACACACACCCAGCCTGGACAACACAGGTCTGCACACCCGACACCGTCATAAAATACCTCAACCGTTACTTGGCGAGGAAGGGACCTATGAAAGCCACCGCCCCCCTGCGTCCCGCTGTCCTGCCAGCAGAAAGAGGGAGGCTTCTGAAGCTGACCGGATCCCACAGCCCCTTTTGATACTTACAGACCTGGGGCTCCCCGGTGAATGCAGAGTCCAAGGCCCTGGTGGTCCATCCCCCTCGCCCTCCTCGTCCCCTCGCCTCTCTGCCCCTTGCCCACTCCCCTCCTGCCCCCTCTGTGCTCCCCGATCTCGGCAACTCTGTCCCCTCCCCTGGGCCTTTGCACGTGCTATGTTCTCCAACCAGACCATTTGTCACCCAGGTAACCCCGACATCGTTCATTTTAAGGGGAGCCCTCCGGGACAAGCCTTCCGCCCCCAAGGTCCCTCCGTCATCGCACTGCTGACACCGGGGTGGGTCGCTCTCTGGGGGGGCCATCTGGGACACTGTGGGGTGTCAAGCAGCATCCCTGGTCGCACGGACTCGATGCCTCAGTGTGATGATCACGGATGTCCCCAAATATTACCCAACGTCCCCTGGGGGCAGAATCACCCCTGGTTGGGAATCAATTACAGTGGCGATCAGATAAATGCCAGCTTAGCTGCTGCGTTTGCGCTGGCCGAGCGGAGCCGGGAGCCTGCCCGCTCGTCCCTTCCCACGTGTCTGGGGCACGTACTACGTACAGAATCGGTGGCAGTCACTTCCCAAGCGGTGCCACAACTCGGCATACCTCGGTGGAGCCGTGCTAGGGACTCAACTGTGTCTCCCACCTCCTGCCCTCCATCTCCACGCCGAAGCCCCAGCGCCCCAACGTGACGGCATCTGGAGAGGGGTAAAGGTTAAATGAGGTCGCAAGGGCAGGGCCTGGCCTGATGGCACTGGTGTCCTCATGAGGGGGAGAGAGAGACCTCCACGCCCACTCACTGAGGAAAGGCCGCAGGGGGCAGCGAGGAGGTCACCGTCTGCCAGCTGAGAAGAGCGTTCTCACCAGACTCCGAATCAGCTGGCACCTCGAGCTCGGACTCCTGGCCTCCAGAACTGTCGGAAATAAACCAACGTCTGTGGTTCAGAAGTGACTCGGTCGGTGGCGTTTGGCTACTCGGCCACGTTCCGCTTTGCCTGGGCAGCCTCGTCCTGACAAAGGTCATTTTCACATGGACTAAGACTCGCTGAGCACCTATTGTGTGACAAAATATCGTGCAGGGGACGAACTAGATGACTAAAGGCCCGCCTTGCGGAGCCGACACTCCGGTGTGGACAATAAACACAGAAATGAAAACATAAAGACAGAGCCATCGTTATAAAGAAAACCAGAGAAGTGTGGCTGGGTGGGTGGCGGGCTCTGTCGGGGAGGCCACAGCTGAGGAGGCCACAGCTGAGCTGAAGGCACTGAGGCAGTATCTAGTGGAAGAAGCGACAGGCAAAGAGCACAGCCTGAGCAAAGGCCCTGGGGTAGGACCGAGCCTGGCAACTCAGAGGAACAGCGAGGAGGCCCGTGTGGCCAGAGCAGAGTGACGGAGGGGGACAGAGGGAGGAGGTGAGGGTGGGGAGGGGACGGGGGCAGCTCGTGTCGGGCCCTGTAGGCCGTGGGGAGGGCTGGGGGTTTTATCCCACGGGAGATCTGGGGGCCTGTGAGCAGAGGAGGGAGAGCATATGAGACGAGTTTTGAAAGCCTGTCACCTCTGCAGGGGGAGGGACTTTGGTCACTGCTGTCAGCCTTCACTTAGACTCATGCTTGGCGCACAGTAGGTGCAATAAATATTTACTGAGAGAATGAACAACTAACAGCTGGGGGGGTGGGGGGAGGCGGGACCGAAAGCAGTAAAATCACACGGCCTCAGGTCACCCGGCCAGGTTATAGCAGGCCGGGGGCTGAACCCGGAGCTGGGCAGCTGAGGCCCCAGTTCCAACAGGCCTATCAGAGGGAGTCCCCGTGCCTGCACGGTGGCCACCTGTTTCCTCCCCTGCCTGTGATTAATGGCCACGCAGCCCCATCCATCATGCGCCAGCCAGCGCCTGGCTCTGCCCGGGAGGCCGTGGGGCCCAGCGCTCATTTGTAAGCAGGCCGCGAGTCTGGCTCAGCCGGTTGGTGACAGGAGACAGATCCCCACCTCAATGTGACCCCAGATGTGGCCCTGAGAACTCAAGGGACAGGAAAGACCAGGATGTGGGCCCAAGGAGTTGGGGGTGTATGGGGGGCTGAGGGGTGGGAAATGGCAGATGCCCAGAAAGTAAGATCTTTGAAAGCCCCAATTCCCCAGAAATCAATTACGGGATCAAGACTGTCCTCTCCCGGGTCGCGGTGTTCCATCCTGCCTTTCCCATTCCTTCCGTGTTCTGTTCTTTCTACCCATCTCCCTGCAAAGAAAAAAAAAAAAAAAGCTCCTGGGTGCAGCGGGCCCAGAGCCTCTGTGTGGACACCCCCCTGCTGGCCCCCATCGCCACTATCAGCTCCCAGCTCTCCGCCCTGGCGGTCTCTCTCTGCTCTGAGCCAGGGCGATTCCCCCCCGCACACACTCAGCAATTCTGCACGTTTGTTTCTCAAGTCTGGGGGGAGGCGTTCCTGGTACCCAGTAGGTGAGGCCAGGGATGCTGCTCAGCACCCTACTCTGCCCAGGACGGTCCCAGGGCCGAGAACAATCCCGGTCAGAATGTGAAGAGCTCAGACAGAAACCGGCCCAGCTGGGGAACCTCCATGGCTCCCCGGTACCCTCTGGGTGACATGCCATCTCCTCGGCAGAAGGCATCGCCCTGGCGCTCGGCTCTCTCCGGCCAGCATCCTGCCATGCCATGCCGCCTGCCCGACCCGGACGCGCGGTAAGGGCATGCACAGTGGCCAAGGGCCCAGGTACCCGGGTTCACCTCGCAGCTGTGTGATGTTGGCTAAGCCGCCTAACCCCGGTGCCTTAATCCCACCTTTCAAATGTCACAATGGCGGTCCCCAGGGTTAAAATGCTCGAGGCAGAGGCTGGCACGTAGTGAAAACAGATACAGGTGGGTTAGTTTATCATTATTATTCACGGTTCGGGTCACATTCTGGGCTTTGGTAGGTGCCAAAAGGCCCTTTTTCCTGAAAATTACTTTTTCATAATTACTCCCCTTCAAAGGCAAAGCCCCGAGTCCCCTCCTGTGGCTCAGCCCTGAGCCCACTGCGCTGGGGGTGTCTGTGTCCGGCTCTGGGGTCTGTTGGGAGTGCTTGGTCATCAAGGGCCCGATGACCTGGGAGGTGCCCGCCCAGGTGTGGGTCAGCTGCAGGTGGCCTCCCAGGACAGGTGTCTGGTCTCCACGGTATGGGGGGCTGTCTCGGGGGTGGGGCCAGCCTCATGGGCACTCACTCTGAACGCTGTGCTCTCCACGGGTGGACCCTGCATGTGCCCCGTTGTCGCCATCTTGAAATTCCTAATCATGTCTGAACCAGAGGCCCTGCGTTTTCATTCTGCCCTGGGCTCCCTGCCAATTGGGGACTCACATGGTTTGCGGGGTCCACATATTCCAGAACCCAACAGGAATACTGAAGAACTCTCCGAAAGTTTGCTCCTTTTCTCTTACGTCGGACACCTTGGGTCCCGCCCCATCCGAGCCCGTCTTCGTCTAATAGGTTGACATTTTGCTCATCTTGCATTTTTATTTTTTTATTAACTTTTTCGAGGTAATGTTGATTAATAACATTATATCTACGTAATCTGACATTTGCGTAGCCATTGTGTGCTCAGCGTCCAAAATCTAGGTCTAGTCATCTGAAATTTTTTTTACAATAATTTTTTATTTTATTTTTTATCAATCACCTAGTCTGCCATCTTCCCCTGAACACTCCAAGTTTTACTTTTAACGATATTGTGTTGATGTATTATTTACCTTCGAGTTTTTTGTTTTTGTTTTTTGGGTGTGCGGGGGGCTCGCTTTAAATTTTGATTATCCATCTCACCCTCATCTTGGCCCCTCGTCTGCCCAGGAAATGTGATCCGGGTTCTAACTTTCCATTTTACAAGTATAAAAACCCAAGGCTCAAAAAAGTTATTTATCTGGACGGGGCAAGCTGCATAGTTGATAATGACGAGATGAGAAGCGAGAGACTGTGTCCTTAACACTCGCCAGGATTAACGTGCATTATTTCGACAGCTTCTCTAAGGCCTGATCGTCGCATGGCAGCGAGAGAAATTCTAGCAAAATCCCAGTCCGGTCCGGTCCTCCTCTGCCCACAGCCCTCCATAGCTCCCACCTCCCTCAGAGCAGAATCTCAAGTTCTCCCAGCGGCCCACAAGGCCCTGGATCAACTGTCCCGTGCCAGCGACAGAATCTGCAGGGCCCAACGCAAAGCGAAAACTTCGAGGGCCCTTGTTCAAAAATAATTAGTAATTTCCAGGAGGTGTTGAAAGACCATGAGCCCCCGCCGGGGTACAAATGCTGAAGCTGTGGGCCCTGCCGGCCTGCTCTCGGTTCCTCCCAGGCTCCCTAAGCAAGGCGCTGGCTAATTCTGGGCCTTTGCATCTGCTGTCCCTGCCTCTTTGAATAAGCCACCGTACCCCATATACCTCTGTTGGCTCCCTCTGTCACCTTCAGACCCTGTTTGCAGGCAAGGCCCTCTCTGACCTCCCGATTTAAAACTGCACCTTCCTGGCGCGCCCTGCGGGTTTATTTTCCCCATAGATGTGGCCACTATCTGACCTGCCAGCGCTTGGGCTTGGGTGTTTGTCTCTCGTCTGTCTCAAGTCATCTCCACCAGGGTCAGGACTTGGTAAGCCCCCGCCCCACCCCCACGTCCTGGAGCGGGGCCCGGCACACAGTAGGCGCTCAATACATGTGTGTTGCAGGAACTGCTCCCAAGAGGGCGGCGGTCTGACCCCTGGCTTTCTGCAGAAGAGGAAACCGAGGCCCAGAGAGAACAGCCTGAGAGCCAAGGTTACAGAGCATGTCCCTGGCACGCGTCCAGGTCGCGCCATGACAGTGCCGGCGGTTTAGATGGGGGCCGCCGGGCCCCTTTCTTTGACAGACTGGGAAACCGAGGCCCAGGCGGCTGCGGCCATCCGG